TTTATAGCGATGAAAAATAGTCAACTGAGCATTGATCTTTGTAGTAGCCTATTATTGATAAATTATTACTTATACTTACTTGAAAACTTCTGTTGGTAATAAAGTTGGTAAGGAACATAAACATATTGCCCTTGATACCAATACTAAGCTATTTAGTAGCAATACGGTGTGTCCCTACCATATCGTATGCTTTTTCAATGTCTAGATTTACTAAGATAACATGTTGTACGTGAAGAAACGCTTCATGGATTATCGTTGTAGTGCTGATAAGATTAGGTGATAGTGTCCAGTTGGTTGTCTTTTATTAAATGTTGTGATTCAAGAAACCACCTTATTATTTTATTAATAATTTTTGATGATTAATGCGATAAAGTATGCACGGTGGAAGCATCACTAATTTTATTTTAATTAAAGTATGTTGTGTGTAATTGTGAATCTACTGCTTACAACTCGAACTCCTGCCTTTTGTGTCTACAACAAAATTGAATAAAGGACGGAACATGATTTTATAGATAAGGACAAAGAATTAGAGTTGCAATGACACTAATGCTGCTCTAGAATTTCGAGAGGGTAATCATTAGGTTCCAGAGGTTTGTTAGCAAAAACTTTTAATTATTCTAGTAATAACATAATTGTAAAGTCTTGTAAATCAATCATGGATTTTAGTTTTTCCTATATGTTGATGTAAATTCCACTACGATGCATAGTAAAACCTTTCTATGGCAAAAACCTTCTTTCACTGGGAAAATATCTCACAGCGGACTAATTTCCAATACAAAGTACACTGGATAAGCCGGGAACCTGCCTAATGCGAGAAAGGAAAGGAACTTTTTGCCCGAGAGTAATAAACATTTCTGTATAAGACGGAAGTAAAATTCTGGATTAGTCAGGAAACAAATATTGTTTAACTCTAAAATACTTACATTTACTTGTAAGTGTGACAAAATCGTATCACAAAGCACTCAGGGCTGTACTCGTCCATTTCTCAGCGACCTTCGGACGAACATCGTATTTCCCAAGCTACTCATGGGAAGGAAAGACGCGAAGTGATTCTTCTACAATTCGTATAATGCGAGCTTTGGGTTCAGTGGTTCTAAACGTTTACTGTTGTTCAGTTCAACGAGTTGCTGGTCTTACGTTAATCAAGTGTTTAGGATGTCAGTCGGCAAATGGAAAACATTAATTATTGGTGAGACAATTAGACTAATAGAAGAACATGAATAAAACAACACTTCTGTTAAGGTTTTGATAAAGATATTTAAAGTTTGGCCAACTTGTGTATGACACTTTAAAAACAAAGACAAAAATCAAGAATGAATCGTTAAAAGACAATGTTATTGGATGTTCCCAGAATACTTACCATAACTTAGGGAAACAGCCGAAGCCTAAACATTCAGATGAATTCATATGTTCTTACAAATATTGAAGAAAACAATATTTATTTCACTTTTTATGGATTTCTTTGTTGCATTCGACTTACCTCTCCCTGGACCTCTTTGTTTCTTGGACATGTGGTTTTTGGGCGAGATAACCTGAACTAGTAACAAGAGTTTTTATTCGCAAACCTGAATAAGTAAGAATTCTGAACAAGACGAAGTCTCGGAAGTTGGTCCCGATCGATTGTCTTAGAGAGGTTTTATTGTATAAAGTACACTGATATTGATTATCAGCAAAATTCGGAACTTTCCAATGTGTAATTAAAATTATAGTCATTTATGATAAATATCCCCCAAACACGTAGATTAATTATGGGCCTTCAAATTAATGAGCTATCCTCCATCTTGGAAAGATCTTTGCCCTGTATGGGATTCCACTGGCTTTATTATTATCATATAACTGTTTATTCTGCTTTCAAGATACTATTGTTTCGTTTCTAAACCACCTTTACTTACTTTAGTTCCATTAATGTCCAATTGAGTTGAAATTATCTTCTAATCTTTGCGTGGGCAAGATTGTCCTCAGCATCGTCAAACCAGTGGTAAAAACAGTACACATTTGAAGTGCATGAAAAAAATAAATAAAATAAACATTGTGCTTTTTATTTTCATTTGAACTTTTTACATTCTTTTTACACATACACATTCTCTTGGTTAGTTGCGTTTTACAAAAGAGCTGTCCTCGCAGAAGGCACTGGACATGGCGAAGACAGCAACGCGTCCAGGGGCTTCTGAGCCTGCCCGCGCGCCCCGCGCCGCCGCCACGCGCCGCCCCCGGCCCACGCGTCGACGCCCGCCACCTTTGTTCACACTCCGCAATGACGCGTGTTTGAGAGGAAGGAATAAAAACTAAGTATAAACACGCTATTATCGAAATCGTCCGATTCCATCCCGCGGTCAGGTTTGTCTCACATCTACCTTCCAATTCATGCCTTACACTTCCGGCTACCTTGGAAGGCGGGGCCGGATTCCATCCCGCCGTCAGGTTTCTCTCGCATCTACCTCCCAGTTCATGCCTTACACTTCCGGCTACCTTGGAAGGCAGAGCCGGATTCTATCCCGTGGTCAGGTTTCCCCTCACACCTGTCTCCCAGTTCATCCTTTTCCCTTTTGGCTCCCTCGGATGACAAAGCATGATTCCATCCCCGTTAAAGTTTCGGGACGGGATCTTGACTCCCTTACCCGTCCTCCTTGGCGCAGCCCACGTAGAAATAATTTCAAAAAATTAAGATTAATTCCAAAATAACAACCTTTCCTTACTCTCTTTTGTTCCTTTTCTTTTTTTGCACAAAGTTGATATAAGATACTACAAATACTTTCAAGTTAGGCATTTTAAATACGAAAACGAAAGGGTGATCTTCGACGCAATGATACCTGGATGAGCTCTTCCTTGAACTCACGAAAAGAACGGAATGGGAGGCAATCGGGCTATGCCTCTTTCGGAAAAGAGGTAAAAAGTTTAGAAAAAGTTGACCGCGAGATACAATTCGAATAAGTATTATATTATAAGGAAGTGAGAATGAAAGGGTCTTCATTGGTCTTAAACCTTTAACGCGAAGACTTAAGTAGGTGCGATTGCATTCCAATGCTGGCGAAAGGAAAAAGGCTCTGGTTACTTTGATATAAGATAATTGTATTATGGAGAGAAATCATGAATAACACGTATGTCACTTTACCAACCTTTTTAAACATACAAGTATTCTTAATTGTTCTGCAGAGCCCCAGATGTTATTGACAGATTTACGAATTTTTTTAAATCTAGTTTCCTCAGACATTTTACTCGGATAAGTTATCCAATATATGCTATTTAACAAAATGTTACTGTATGGGTAAAATAATACACTGAGGAATGCGTGAAGTAGAAATGCTTCAGTACTAGTTTCGCGAGCAACGCAGATCGTTTTGTCGTAAGTTCGTCGGAAGTGCGTCGAAATTTTGCCTTTGATTCACTCAAAGATGTTGCATGTGAATCGTGGAACTCCAAGGTTGGAACCTCTCTATACACTTCGAAATATGCGATGAAAGTTAGTCAAATAGGCCGCATCAAAATGGCGAATTCTTGTGTTCTTCCTAACTTTACCCCACTACCTTAACACGTGCAACGTTTGGAATTTATGCCAACCATACAGCGCATTCCAAGAGTGCTCCATTCGTCTATATGATTTAGCTTTTTGTCAAGTGAAAATACCCAGACCCACGTTCCTCTCTCCCGGTCTTCGGCGTAAAATAATTGCCCTTGCAACCATGCTATGTCTGCAAATCCCGCTCCTGGCTAGAAGCCATTCAAAGCATACGTTCTCAAAATGTTACTTTTTAAATATCACCCTACCCCTTTGCAACCCTTACAACCCCTCCCCTTCAAATGAAACGTTCCATTTCGAATCCACCCCCTTCCCTAGGATAAATAATACATTGGATGAAATTTTATATATTTTTAATATTTTTAAGAATTAAAACACGTTAGATTGATTAATTTGAATGTTAATTTAAAATTACAAAAACTTCAAAACGAAGTTCAGTATATTAATATAATATTTATTTTGTAACGTAAGATAATTTTGTCACTGAGATCGACATCTTGCGGAGAAAGTGAGAGTCAAATTTGAGGCGCATTATGATACTACCCGCGAGGTGCGTCTGCTCGATATGATCTCTAGATAGGACCAAAGAAGAAGAAGAAATATAATTTTAGTTAAATTTATCATAAATATAATAATATAAAAATACATGATGTTCCAGATTTCATTAAGCCCTATATCCTTCGTGTGTTCTCGTTACGTTGTGAGAACCACATCCTAACAACGAACGTATAATCTGAATGGCCCTTATGGCACTGGGCACGAACAAAGGTACACCACTGCAAGACGTGCAATAGTCATAAAATTTTAGAGATAGTGCGACATTTTAGCTAACAAGTATACTTTTGAAATGCTTCCCGGTACTAATGAATTTGATTGATAAGTAGTTAATCTTTGTCAAGGGTTTGAAGATTGTAGTACTAGATATTTTCCCAATTATTACTGCACACGGAGTATCGATGTATTCTTACTTCTGTGGTACTCTGAGTGTCAACCAAATGGAGGACTGTACTTCCAGTCACCTCGTTCGTTCTTCCGTGCCTGATATTTAGTTTGCAGCTCAATCACATGTCTACAGTTTAAATGCGTCCCCACCTATATTTGCGGAGCAAATTAAAACAAAGTACGATAGATAAAAATACGATTTCTTAATCTATGTTTAGTACTTAAGAGCAAACCCACTAGCATACCGAAACGGCCAGAACGATCGAATCCGAGAAATCAAAAGCAACTAGTTATACGTCCTGACAACACATCGCTATTCTTTCATACGGAGCTCACTGGCGAGCATGGCAGCAGAAACCATTGCCAATATCACTGGCGAAATACGAACAAGAGAGGTGAATTGGGGGCGTGGGCACGTGGCACGTGGCGCGGAGGCTGCGGGGCTCCTCGGCACGTGGCGTGAGGCTTCGCTACTTTCCCTACTCTACGACTCGTTCGTCCTCGCACACACGAGGGACGATACAGGAATGTACAAATTACTCTACTTGTGCTCACACACACACCGACAGCCTCCTCCTTCCTCGGCGTCGTTCTCGAGGCGACGACGCTGCCGGGAAAGATGAGAAGGGGAAGGGCTATTTCTCGCAGCTCTCTCTAGCGTTGGCCCGCTTCCTCTTTTCTCAGTCCTTGTGCCCGGGCGCGAGGGCGCGCCGATCGCCGCGCGTACGTCGGCTCGCCTCGCCACCGGTCGGCTGTCGCCGGCCTCGTTCGGCGACCTTCGGTCTTCTCCGCTCACTCTTCGCGCCTCTTCGTCCCTCGTCGGCTGCCTGTCCACGGGCCCCTTCTGGCCGCAGTCAGCTTCCTTCGGGCCGCGGCACGAGCTGCCACTGATCCTCTTATAACAAAATAACATATCTAGATATATTCATGTTTTTGTGTGGGGGTGGGCGTCAATGAATCGACGTCTAATTTTTTTCTCTAAGAGTTTCTAAGAGTCTCCGACCCGGAAAGGCGCCGTCCCGGGGTGGCCGCGCGGCAGGGCTAGGCGGCGGCGCTGGTCGGCGAACTGGGATGGGTGGGTTGGGCCTGAGGGAGGCGGGTGGATTGGGGTGGGGGCGGGGCGCAGGGCGCTACTTGAGCCGCTTGAAGCCGCGCCGCCCTTGGCCCAGCTTCAGCCTCCTCGTGCAGCGACGGCGTGACCTCGCCGGTGCCGCCGCCACGCGGCCATGTGCGCCACGTGCGGCACGTGCAACGCTCGAGGGTGCGCGGCGGAGAGCGTGGGCGACCGCTGGAGACGGCGCGCGCGCGGACCGGCCGTTGGGGGCTAGCCCCAGCCAGGCCAGGCCCAGGCTCGCGCCCAGGCCCGTCCCGCCCAGCGCCGGCCGCCGCTCCCGCGCCTCGCCGGCGCGCCGCCGCTCGGCCCCCCGCGCCGCCGCCCACACTGCCGTCCGGTTGGCCCGACGGAACCTGTGCACACAAACACCTTGTTTCATACTTACCTTTTTTAAATTTTATTTCCTATTTTTCATTTTATATCCCATTTTCACTTTATTTCCCATTTTCCATTTTATTTTCTATTTTACTTTTTATTTCCTGTTTTCACTTGATTTCATATTTATTGATTTAATTTACGTATTGAAAAAGGGATGAACACATCCAAGTAGAGCGACGTCTAAAACACTCAGCACTGAGATGGAATAACTTGTTTGTCTAACGTTTCGTAAAAATAAATTTGACCTTTTCAGAGGAAGCTTAAGAAGATACATTGTGTTACAGCAAAACTTATACATAATATATTTTAAACACATGTGTTTAAAATAATAGCCATAAGTCTGAAGAACTGTTAAGATAAGGTTTTCTTACTTAATTTCATTATCAAAAGCAGTAACACTTTTTTTGACGTTTGAAAAACAGAAAAGCTACCTACATAGGACAGGTGCAAAGTAAGAAACCGTCCCAGCCGTCTAAAGGGAATTAACCATCAAGTATCGTTGTTTTTATTTTAATGTACTTAATTTATATATTAACAAAAAGTAAATAAGCGTATGGTACGTTTTAGAGAAGGTAAAAACCTCCTTCAACTGTCGACTTAAAATGAGCTCATGGAGAAGATTCGTTCACTGTGCATCCTCTAGCTTGCCATTGAGACCCTTTGTTATCACGTCCCGAGTAACACTGCAATCGATTGATGTCCAAGTTTTATTAACTCGTGATTCAGCCATCTCTCGTGGGGCGTTTTTTACAGAAACTATGTGTCCAGAAATTGCAGCACGACTACGCTCTACTTGAAGCAGAAATCAGATAGATCTTTATCACACTACCAACACTTTGCACTACTTTGGGAAATATTCATTTGCGAATCGAACTATTAGGGACTGGAACGGTTTGCCAGTGACAATCTTCGATCCCTTTCCTCAAAGCCTGAGCCAATTTAAAAATAAATTAGTTATTTTTAGATTTTGTAAAATTGTTAAATTCTGTAATGATAAGTTAGTGTATTCTGCCACCAAGTTCTCACACTTAATTGCAGAATTATTAATAAATCTAAATGAAACTCATTTCCTTCGCTATCGTCCGTCGGAGCGTCGTCGTTCCAAAGGGGGCGACGTACCTGGATGTGGTCCATGTTCATCTCGCGCAGGTAACTGGGGTTCTCGAACGCTACGCCGCCCGACGACTTGCGGCCCAGCAGCCGGCGCCTGCGCACGTACCACACGGCGGCCGCCGCCAGCGCCACCAGCGCCACCACGGCCAGCCCCGCGCCCACCGCCACGCCCGCGGGCGAGCCCTCCGCGTCTGCGCACACCGCGCCGCACTCAGCGTCGGCTGGACCAAGCCGCACAAAAGAGGCCCTCGTCCCACGGACGGGGGGGTTCAGAAAAGGTCGTTTGGGATCACTACGGCCGCAGCCGTTCTCCGGCGCGGCTCTGAACACACAACTCCGGCACAGGAAAAACATCACATTTCGGCTGACCGAAATTTGAGCCAAATTCGGTTCCCTTTTGACCGCCCCCTTACAATATATTGGGGGAAACTTCAGCCCCCTCCCCGAAGCCGATTACTAATTCACAATAAAATATAACGGACAATAATATTCATTAGAAGATATCATAATAATCACAATCATTTTTGCTATTTTTTAAAATTGTTACGACATTCAACATCTCAACTCAATAAATTAAAAATAACTTTAGATCAAGAAATAATAAATAAAAATATTCAGCATTGAAAATAAATTCTTTATAAGAAAACATCCAGATCGTATGACGCTACTTCTATAGTTCTCCCAAAAATTCGTGATGAGCCATTGTCATTTTTTTACGATATTTGTATTACTATATTATTCCAACGGCAATACAGCCTGTCTAGCGGTTCCCCATGGTTCCTGAGAAAAAAGTACTTTAGCACAAGTGATGAGTATATGGAAAAGAACATCTGGTCTAATTTTATCTGCATTGAACTTTAGTGTGCTTTGATGGTTAACACACACAAAAAGTAACATCCTTGCGCGATAAGCAACTAGACATCAAGTCTAAGAGAGCTGACCACCCTTCCAATTATAGTGTTTGATTTGATTTGATTGAATTAATGAAAAAATAGTAAAAAATACAGTTAAGTTAAATATAGCAAATTCGTCCGTTATATGTGTAAGTTTGATCCACTTATGTATGACAATGTAAAAAAGAAAAATGAACTATTGTAATGATGCGAATAGTAAAAACACTTGAAAGGCTACTATGTTATACTATTAAACAACATTTCCGACAAGTAACATCGTTTCTCCATTGATATTCGAAGAGTGGAATAAACCTACGTAGTCGAAGGACTATGGAATTAAAAATGTGTGTTTGACTGGACCTCACGCGTTTATCAGAATTTTTATATGTTGTGGTTTACGGACATTAGGTGACTGCTACAGTCATTGCGATTCATCAGTTTTTCTGATCTATTGATTAACAGATACCGACAATGATGAGGTGAAGGGTAATGAAGCAATGAGATTCTGCGTAGCGCCAAGTTTGAAATGTACGGTCCTTTCTCTTAAACGCCTTCAAAGAACATCAAGAATGAACCCTATTATAAAACAAGGCGCCAAATCCGAAGCAATTTGGCGGCCAATGAGCCAACAGCGAATGACGTAAAAGACGCTACAGCGACGGTGGACCCAGGGGCCGGCACTCACCGACCGAGGCGGCCGACGTGATGTACTTGTCGCGCGAGCCGGGCGTGAAGAGCACGAGGGCGGAGAGCGCGCTGGTGCCGAGGCGGTTGCCGGCGCTCACCGCGCACTCGTACGCCGCGCCCTCCTTCAGCGCCGTCAGCCGCAGCGACGCCGCGCGCGTGTCGTTCTTGAACCAGGCGCGCGCGCCGCGCTGCCGCCACAGCACCCTGCGCACGCACACGGGTTGCAGCGCCGAGCAAAGAATATACACAATAAGAGACTACCACTATTATTATTACTATTATTATTATTGTTATTATTATTATTATTGTTATTATTATTATTATTATTATTATTATTATTATTATTATTATTATTATTATTATAAAGCTAGTACATCCTGTTAAGGGCAAAGATCTGCGTTAGTGGGGGTTCTAACCATCTCACGAAAGACATGACGTGGTAGGTTGGTATTTCCGCCTAATTATAGTTCAGTACTAGTAGTCTTTAATATAGTTAATACGTTTTGACAGTTTGGATTTTGTATAGCACCTTTGAGATTTGACGTTTTGATATTGAGCACTTTGTCATTATGCATTTCGTGTATTGTCATCTTAACACTTAATCGGCATTATCGCTTTTGTATTACTTTTACAATCTTTCACTTGTTTTCGTGTCACTTAAAGTTTCTTACATTTAATGATTGGCCATTTGTCCCTTAGACACTGAGGAGATCATTTCGTAATATGAATTTTAACAGTGATTTTAATGTATTAGTTAACATTTGTACTATATAATAAATAGAACTATAGTACTATAATACTAGATAATACATTTGTAATATAATGAGAGACCAACTATTTCTGTAGCAAAGGTTGCCCTTTAATCACTAGAGAGGTTGTGTGCCGTTACCTGTACATCTCGGCGGCGGCAGGGTTCTTGGCCGGCGGGTCCCACAGCAGCCGCACCGAGTGGGCGTCCACGTGCTCCACGCGTACGTCCAGCGGCGGGCCCGGCAGCCGGTCTGCACACACGAGCGACGCCTTCATCCGCCATTCTCCTTCAACGTCCTCATCATTCGTTAAACAAGGAGGAGTTCTCCTTCAAGGCACTCATCATTCATTAAACAAGGAGGAGTTCTCCTTCAACGGACGCATCATTCGTTAAACATGGAGGAGTTCTCCTTCAACGCACTCATCATTCGTTAAACAAGGAGGAGTTCTAATTCAACGTACTCGACGGGACTCGAACTCGCGATCCTCCGGTCCGAGTTTTCTACGGCACTACTGCCTTAGCGAGCTCGGCCACCGGATCGGCTACCTACAGTTTTGTTTACAATATAAGCAGCTTTCTATCAGCAGGCCATATTTCTATCTTCGGGTCTACCGTCTAAAAGCCACAATATGACCTACTGCATATCTTGTATAGTATAGAAAGTATGTTGATAAGACGACACCTTCTATTTCCACTCGTATTCGCATGCTAGCAGCACCTCAAAAATACGTCAATATTCCTATTCTAATTCTAGCTCATGCAGTTAATCTTCGCATTCTAAAACTCCAATGCTTATTAGTTTCTACGATTAAAATGGAAAATCTATGTCGTCAAAATTAAAAATTCAAAATTACTTTTATTGCATGATTAGGTAAATCAATTTGCATTATTTAAACTGATTATTCAGACAATAGAACAATAATGAGTTTGTGCGGCGCTTTAAATAAAAAAGAAAACATTTATGTTGCTAGGCAACAACGTGAAATGAACGAAAGTTGTATATCTTGAGATATGACTTCAAAGACGTAATAAAAGTAGAAAATCTTATTCTAGAAAATATTTTACATAAGGAATTCTGTATAAGGTGCTGAAACTGCTGCTTATTGATTCAAATACTCCTAAGACACCTCCCAAATACGTTTTACTACACTCTCAGCTGCGCATCAACGTCAATAGAAGCAATGCGCCTTGCGTCATCTTTTTTGGGGAACATATGCGACAGGATTTCATTTAGCATTTGGGGGGGGGGGGGGGGACCAGCAGACGGAGCGGAGAGCGGCGCAGCGGAGAAGCGGAGAGCAGCGGAGAAGCGGCGAACACCATTGATTTCTGTGGCGGTTGGTTGAGATAAACTATTAGTCCTGAGGAATGTGTGGACCTTTCGATTGTCACCGAAGGCCTCACAAATCTCTTCATGATGTCGAGCCTTCGTTGGCTACAATATTTGCTCCCGCGACACCCGTTTCGTCCCTCGATGTTTCGTCACAATTTCTAACAGACGTCTCTGATACATCTACAGAAGGCTAACTATCCGAAATTGCAAACAAAAAAGTGATTTAAAACTTGAAGTAAAATCTTTCCTAGGTTGAATCCAGTCGCTCTCTGGAGGAGAATTCTAGCGGCTGGTTGCTCAGATCGCAAGTTTTCCGTGGATTCTCCGATCAACACCAGGCAAATGCCGGAGCTGTACCTCAACAAATGGGCCACGGATTGCGCGCATCTTTCCTACCTCTTCCTTGTCCTATCCTCACCTCTTACACACACTCACACTTACATCCATTACACTACCACACAAGCCGGGAGCTTAGAGCGTGTCCCAGCTGGGGCGATGGCTCGCTGATGGGAGATACCTGGTTGGGCAAAATCCCACTAACCGACGGCAGGTCGGCGCCGGATCTAACCATACAGCGGGGCAAGAGAACTGCCACCTCCAGAGCAAAACATTCACTACACTTACGGGACTAAGGATTCTAGTCGTTGACGTGTCCGGAATCATTAACAATCAATCAACCAATAGCTTTCTTGTGAATGGTGTCCTTCGTGGAGGCAGGCGGGCGGAGGGTGGCGTTGGCTTGGCACTGCACGCACACTTGGGGATGCATCGCACTCGGTGCGTCACCGTACTCACCGCGTCCTTCGTGGAGGCAGGCGGAGGGTGGCATTGGCGTGGCACTGCACGCACACTTGGTGATGCATCGCACTCAGCGCGTCACCGTACTCACCGCGTCCTTCGTGGAAGCAGGCGAGGATGGTCTTGGTGTGCTGCAGCACGCACAGCTTGCTGTTGAGCAGGGGCTCGCCGCGGCACCAGTCGAGGCAGCGCCGGGGCACGCCGCCCTTGGCGCAGCAGCCGCGGTGGTCGGCGCCGTCCGCCGCGCACTTCATCAGCTTGTCGAAGTCGCCGATGCACGCGGGCCGGTCGATCACGGCCTCCACGTCCAGGTAGAAGGAGCACGCGTCCATGCACGCCGCCGCCACGTTCTGCTCCGCGCAGCACGCGGTCACGTTGGTGGCCGCCGCCTGCGCACGCACACACGGAAATTAGACACTAAGCGGCTAAATGCAAAAAAAGGGAATTAAAGATATTATGTTATGCACATGTCTTTTCCACAGGAACTACAGATCTCTGCGATAAATGACTCCCTTTGCTCAGGGCGAGGCTAATAAATAAAAAAACAGCGTCCAAGCCTGGGACTATGCAAGCTGGCAAAGTCGGATTAAACCTACCCAAAACTACCGAATACATTATCATTATTATTATTATTATTATTATTATTATTATTATTATTATTATTATTATTATTATTATATTGTCTTACATTATTCATACAGTATCTACTGTCGTATTTCAACCACACACAGTATGATGACCAGGTAGTGGAGTGCTATTACTGAAGGTTCAGATGCTTCTGACAATACGGATGTACAAAATTATGTCTTTTGCACTATTATATACATTTATAATTATTATAATTATTAATTATTATTATATTATTATTATTATTAATTATTATTATATTATCTATTATTATATTATGATTATTTATTAATTCTCTTGTATTCTCAGCAGCTTGGCGGGATTCAATTGTACCCATTCCTGCACGACAAGAAAGAGCATGGTCACTGAAGAGAGAGACTTTCACCTAAATCCCAAGAACTAATCTGAAGCCTCTCATTTGTTTTATTCAGAGTTGCCAAAATACTCGATATGACATGTTGCCCTGTCACACATGCGTTTTGTCCATAATCTAAATCCGTTGGGGTATTCCCCTTTATGAAAAAAAATACCAGAAATTCGTGTGTACTACAACCATTTATGATTTTGACATGACTATTATTGTTTGTTGGTTGTTTTATTGTTATTATTATTATTATTATTGTTATTATTATTATTGTTATTATTATTATTATTATTATTAATTTTACAAAGAAGGAGCGACTTACCGCCGATCGGATGCGCAGCGACACGGGCCGCGTGGCCGAGCCGAAGGCGTTCTCCGCGTGGCAGAAGTAGTCGCCAGCGTCGGTACGCTCAACCTTGTGGATGGTCAGCCGCATCACGTACTCGCCCTCATCCTGCAACGCACGTAAAACCGCTGTTTCTTCGAAGAAAAACACAAAACAAATCCATATTATAATAGAGAAGGTATATAACGACTTCCTCTTTGAAGATTCTGGATATTTAGAATAGAAGATTTACCAGGGCGACTGATGGAACTAGTGAGACTATATGTCTTTTTGGGGTAGAACAGGATGCAAAGGTAGAAAAGCAAAATATGATAATCTTACCAAAGGAGTTAGGAACTATATTAAATTTTGTCCCCGAAATGCTAATCACTCTTCCCGATCACGGAACATCAACAAAAAATAACTGTCACAATATTTGACTATCAAATTAATGTAGTAGTAGAGTCATATCGAGACATGTAACAGTAATAATAAACGAATTAATAAAGAATGGCAGCATCGTCAGAAAGTTCAATTTCAGCTTTCACTCCTTTGATATAGTCACAATATACAGGCAAAATGAATATATATATATCAGTTATTTATGCACCAATAGTTAAAAATAATCATAATTACCTCGAACTAACAATCCTCTTGATTTAGGTAAGTTATGCAGTGCATATCGAGTTTTATATCGAAGGTAATAACAAGCAATAATGTACTCTGTGGCTAAAAAATAAAATAATTGAAGGAAGAGCAGGAACTGCATTATCGATTGGTCGAAACTGATGGCCATTAAAACTAATGGTGCTACAAAATTACGTATTTTCTCGAGTTATTTCTAAGTTTGCCATTTTCAAAAATTCAGTGTTCAACGATAATGAGATCAACACATTCTTTTACGCATCCTTTCTTCCGTTCGTGAGAAAAAATGAAAAAAAATATTGAGAAAAAATGTATTTTTTTAATTGGGCATATTTTGAGCCAAACTACATGAAAACTACACATATTTTCGAATAATTTAAATGAACTTATTCCCCAAAAATTGCACTAATGCAGTTTTTAAAACATCTAGAATTTCAACGAACATCAAACCTGCATCATTCTCCTTGGCGTCGTTTACGCTATCTAAAGATAATTTTAAAACATTGGCGCTATTTTTAAGAAAATTTTGAAAATGTTCTCGAGTTCATGTACAATACCCTCAAAAATCAAAATATCCGCTTGAAACGCCAAAAGCGTCATTTATTCAGATCGCTTGTGGAATATCAATTTTGAAGAAAATTAGAAGACCGGTTTATACGCTAGTGTTGGCGACAAACGGACAGACAGACGTTTTGCCGTTAATCGATTTTTCGGTATTAAGGTATAAAACATGGAATTCTTTTCCATATTTATAAATAGGATTTGTCCACTTTTGTGTTACCAGGGCTCGGCAATACGAGCATTTACTGCCGAAAATTCGCCGTTTTTCGGCGCACGATTTCATAACTTTTAATTCTTATGACGTATCTACGTAACGACGCGAAAGTAAAAAAGGATAAAATCATTGCTAGAAGAACTGAAGATGATTTACTATTAACTGTTGCATTTGATCTTCAGAAATCATTATTAACTCGTGTTTTAACGACACATAAAGTGTATTACATTAGGCAACTATGGACCTACAAATTCTGCATCTACAACCTGGCAACAGCATGTTTCTTCAGAATAAATTAGAAAGTTTTTAAGCCAGTGCTTCCCATTTTAGAGACTTTTCACTAATTTACTGACCATCGACGAAAAAACCGGAGATCACCCATTAACGTTAGAGAACATACAAATTAAAAAGATCGTAAATGCAATCAGTGCAACTTCCCGAACGAGACAAAGTGCTAAACTGTGCTTCGGCGGCGCTCCATCGTGATACAGTTTGGTGTACTCGTTCCGAGCTGACGGGTGCCACTGCCAGGAAGGAGAGTGGGGTGTGAGGCATTAGGAGGCACGGAGGGTGAAGGGAAATGGGGGAAGAACAGGGCAAAAGGATGGGAGGGTGGAGGAGAAGGGAGAGGAGGCATGTGAGGGGAAGGGAGGTACAGGAGGAAGGGGGGAGGGAAAGATATGCAGGATGGCAAGGAGGGGAGGAGAGAGGATGGAGGAGCGGAGAGGGAAGAGGAGGAGAGGTAGGGGCTCCCTGCGAGGAAGGGCAGATAGGAGAGAGGGGCTAGGAGGCACGAATGGGGTATGGTGAAGGGAGATGGGGCGGAAGAAAGGGAGGGAGTCGGCGAGGAGGAAAGCGCGGGAAAGGGAGGTGGAGGAGGGGAGGAGAGGAGGTGGAGGAAGGTATAGAGAGGAGGACGAGTGGGAGTGACGTTTCCTGAGAGATCGCGATCGCACGCAGTTCGAGACGGAATTAGAACGTAATTTCTGTTCTTTTATTGCGCGTCTGAACCCAGTCGCAAAGACAAACATGCCAATCGAGTCCGCTCCAATTCATTTCGAGAGTTTCTGAATATATTGTCTCATTTCCAAAGGTAACGCTGCCTTCCCTCTCTCCCTCTGCCCCGCACCCACCGCCAATGCTCTGCCTCCGTCGCGCGTTGTTAAGCGGCGTCGCGGTGAGCGCTTGAATGGCGCGAGGGCGCTGAGAGGTGAACAGCTGCGGGGGTGGGGGTGGGGGTGGAATGACGCGGCGAATGGCGTCGCACCCCAATGCGGTGGCAGCTTGGTGGAAATAAACAGGTGAAGCATCGCGCTTCACGCTCTCGAAAGGCCAGATGAATGTCGATGGTTCTCGATGCTTCCGAGAGCAGGGAATCGCGCGCGATTCAGACTTCATTTAGTTTTAAATTTAGTTTCAAAGCAACGTATGTCCGCATAAATGTGTTAATCATCCACGTAGTACTGTTACGTATTTAAGAAAACTATATTAAAACTACGATAAAAACGTAGGAAATAAATATGAGAGTAATGAGAAAAAAAACATTTATAATAAGGTGGGTAAACGTTTCGGGTAACCTCTACTGTTGATTGGCGTACTCTACGTGAAGGTATTTGTTAAAATTTAGTTGACAACTGAACACAGATGTAGTTGCATTTGGAACAGGCAGGAAACTATAAGAAAAAATGTTGGACGAAGTGGGAAAGGGAAAGGGGTGAGAGTGAAACGGGAGGTCAGAGCGAGAATGATGAGGGAGAGAGAAGGTCAAAGGGAAATGGAAAAAAGATGAAAAAGAAGAAGAAGAAGAAGAAGAAGAAGAAATGTGCTCCAAATTCTAGGGTTCGAGTCTGGGGAGTGGTGAATCGTCAACACTAGCTCGATAGCTAGGACGAATTCAGACACTGTATGGAGGAGAATTCTGGCGGCCGGCTGCTCCAATCGGCAGTTTCCGTACTTTGTTCCATTAATTCAGGCGAATGCCGCAGTTGTAAACTAACGAACAAGTAGCGGGCGATACTTCCTCCCTCCTCCATGTCCCCTCCTCTCCCCACCCACATAGACACACACACTGAACTACCCTACCCCACTTATTGAGAGGCCAGTCGGGAGCATAGGGTTTCTCACAGGTGGAGCGGTGTTCAGTGAGGGAGATACCCAGAGGAAGAAAAAAACAAAGTTGATGTCCCGGCTCTACGAACGTCCTCCCGTAGCATGAAATACACTCATGGGACTAAAGACCAAAGCAGTAGATGCGCCCGGAAACACGAAATACCCCATCGCCCAGAAGCGGAATTGTTGGAGCGGGGTGAGAGCGCGGTGCGGAAAGCAGAACACCACGTCCAGAAAGCAGCTGGCGATGGTGGGGAGAAGGCCGGGGGCAGGAAATGAGAGGAAGGGGGTGTGGAAGTGGTGTGTGGAGGAGGTGCGGGAAAGGGATACGAGAAGGGGGTGCGGGAAAGGGATACGAGA